CGAGGGAAGAAAACTCAGAGTTCGTAGGTGCCTACGTTTCTGAATCTTGGTCCAGAACTCTCCTTGTATGACTACTGGCGTCAAGAGAAACGTAGGCACCTACGAACTCTGAGTTTTCTTCCCTCGCTTTTGTTTCTCGGTGGCTTGTTTCTTATTGCTTGTTTCCAATAGGCATGTCTTCGGCTGACGTCATCCTGCCCAAAGTCATCGAGAAACAAAAGCGAGGGAAGAAAACTCAGAGTTCGTAGGTGCCTACGTTTCTCTTGACGCCAGTAGTCATACAAGGAGAGTTCTGGACCAAGATTCCTGCACCGACATATTACCGACCTGTGGGTTCTCATCTGTGCTAAGTTAGCGACGTTGGCGCCCCCTCTGGATGGTAAGTTAGGGCGATTGGGCCCCCTATGAAAGATTTCTTCTTACCAACGGCTCCGGAATTTTGTTTGAAGAGGGTGCTACGCGCGCAGGAGTCGACGGCGTCGACCCCTTCATCGGCTGACGTCATCGGAACGGGGCCCTAGTTTTACGTCAGGTGTCAGGAATTTTACGGGAGATTTCAGAAATATCACGGCAGGTATCAGGGATTTTACGGCAGATTTTAGGAATTGTGTGGGTGGAATCTAAGAATCACTCAAAAAATGGAGAAATTCATTTAAAACGGTATATATTTTCACTCATCATAGTCATCCTCATTCACAATAACAATAATTTCTATTTGTTCGTTTGATTTTCTCCTTTTGCCCTTGAATTCTCAGGCTGACGTTCACCGGAAGATGAGTTTCCTGAAGAACCTCTCGCAGTGTTACCCTGATCCGATCTAGTAGGATTTCCATGTGTCGCTGAGTTTTCGAACGAATAATTGTTTGCGAATGTCATGCGATGATGCCTTTCAGAATCAGGGAGATCTGAAATACGCAGCCACTCATGATACCGATCTCTTCGAAACTGCTCTCTTTCTCTTGTAGCCCGCTCGCGTTCTGCTCCCTGTGATTGTCCCGTTTGTGGTTACCTCGCACATACCTTTTTCGTTGATTATCGCTCTTGGAACGATAGTATAATACAACTGTAACGTTATTTATATAGAAAAGGTTTACAATAGGAGGTACTGCTGGGAACAGGCCGCTTATATTTGCTTAATTCAGTAGAAATATAAAATATTACTTCGAGAATACTAATTTTATATATTTATTACATTAAAATTTTATAATATGAATACATTCTGATCGTTGAGAAGATGATGATAGTCACGAATTCGTTTTCCAATTAAACTGATTTTTGATTGATTGATTTTTCTAATACTTTTGAAATGAGATGGAAACAAATGTTTTCTTATACGTACCATTCACCTGACTTAATCGGAGGAACCAATACTTGTTGTTATTTATCACAACGAGTTTAGTTTTAACTCCCACTAATTCTGCAAACACAGTGTTGTTGTTATCAATCTCAGGCCGGTACATTAGTAGCCCTACGGCTACAGCCTCCTTAATTGCAGCGTCGGGAGCCCTTTGTATCCATTCAATTGGGACGAAAATTGTAATGTTTCTAATTCCTGTTCCTCGTCTATACTCCATTTTATAATTAATTGATAATCAATTTTTTAATTTATGTTCACGTTAATATATTTCAACCAATTTAAATTTGCACTTCACTTATGCAATATCCAAGATAAAGTGAACTCACGTAAAAATTGTGTGTACCCATGTTGCACTTGATCGACTGACTGTCCGCACTTCGTACTCCAATGGTAGTAAAATGTCAAGTGAACTGCAATCTCACCATACTTCTTATAGAGTGCCAATGTTTAGGCTAGTGAATAACGCGTCAAGTCCTCCTACATATCATCAACATTACCTCCGGCGAGATGGTCAACGGGTTTGAGGAGTCGAAAATATAGAGTTACTCGAAGGCTAGATGAGGTGTTCGGCATGTGTCTTTGATGGTTAGGAGCTACCGACGATTTGTTTATATCACCGCCGAGCTGAATAATCTTCTTGGAATGACACACACATGAAGAGATAGACAATTAGAACCGTGTCGATTTTAATGCACAAGTTTTCGCACCGCTTTTAATATTATTATTACACCTAAAATAGGTAATGATGAGGGGAGGTCATGCATTAGACTTATACGTATGACCGCTCGTCATGGAGAGCAACCATTGACGTTCAAACCTCATCGAGTGTACTTTATTGTAAACGTTTTTAACGAGGGAAAAATGGATTCTGCAAAGTGTAAGAAATTGATTAAGATTATGGAAGAAGCATGTAAATTGCTTAAGAAAGAATCATCGATTGTGGAAATTACAAAGTGGACAAAGTTTGGTACTCAAAATATTCGACTTCTGAACATAATTCTGAGAAACGTTGCGTTTACGAATGGGGAGAAAACCAAAATCTTGACAATCATTGGAATACTAAAATCGTTGAACGAAAAATTTAAATAGCACCTTCAAAAAAGGGGTGAAGGAACTGTGAGAGAGAGAAGAAGTGACAGAGTACGTTGGGATGACTTGGAATCAGCCTACAAGTGAAGAATAAGAACGGGAGTGATAGCAAATTTGCGACACAAGGACTTGAAGCGTTTTCTGGAAGATTCAAGAAAACTGTTCGCTGTTAGAGTAAAAAATGCGCTCCGAAAAGATGGAAATATGAAGATGAACATCGTTTTGTCCTGTAAATTCGAGACTATGAAAGGCGGTGAGCTTATTGAGGACCTAAAGTTCTTTAATACGAAAAACAAAGTAATTCTATCATTCACGGAGATCAGTGACTGGTTCAATGTCAACGTACCGGAAAAATTATTAACTAAAATCGAAGACTTCCAAGAAAAAGAATCGGGCTGGTCGTTAATGGAAATAATAAACTTGGCGGTAAATATCAACAGATATATACCGATACATGGTGGTCTGTCAACATTCATCGAGTTGCCTAAGAACGTGCCGAACAAAAAGCCAGTGGTGAATATTATAAATAACGATCCGTATTGTTTTCTCTGGTCCGTTATGGCAGCTCTTCATTCAGCAGAAGATCATGTAGACAGGATCAGTTCGTACCCACATTTCAGCTCAGTACTAAAATACGAAGGTATAAATTTTCCTATTGGCTTGAAGGACATTCCAAAATTTGAAGCAATTAATGATTTAGTGATTAACGATTACGGTATAGAACGCGAAATAGGGTGGTAATAAGATAGTATCACTCAGATCAAATAAATCTCCAATTCACCTTCTGATGGTGGAAAGTGAAAATGACGTGGAAAGTGATGATGATGATGATTTGAACATGGAATTTTTGTCAAAAAGTGTAATTTACCATTTTCCTTAGATGCGAAATTTATCTCGACTGCTAAATTCTCAAATTTCAAAACATAACGGTCATATTAGACTGTGCGATAGATGCTTGTGCCATTTTCAAACTGAAAACTCTTTCGAAAAACATAAACTCGATTGTAGGAATATAAATAAGTGTAGAGCGTTTTTGCCAAATGATAAGGAAAAATTGCTGAAGTTCAAAAATTACAAGTATCAGAAAAGTGTACCGTTCGTCATTTATGCTGATATCGAATGTATGTTGAAACCAGTTGTAAATGCGTCCAAAGCATCAAACACGATACTGCACCAAAATCATGTTCCACACAGTATCCCATATTACCTCAAGTGCGCCTTCGACGAGTCTTTATCCAAATGCAAAATTAATCGTGGAAATAATTGTATCGAGTGGTTTATGGATGAACTGCAGGAATTAGCACGATCTTTAGAAATTTATCATAAACGTATTGTACCCATGGAACCACTGAGTCTTGAACAGACGCAACAATTTTATTTCGCAAAGATCTGTCACATTTGTGAGAAACCATTCACATTGCAAGATGTCAAGCATCACGATCATTGTCACTTTACAGGAAAGTATCGCGGTGCGGCACATCCCGGTTGCAATTTGAATTATAAAAACGCACTTTCTGATTAAGGCTCTAGCTACTTCCTTCGGGGGTTCTGTAAATCTTTTACCGGTTAACAAAGAATAGTACTTTATGTAACTCATGCATGAAAAACACTACTTTTCGTGCCTCCGAAGTGTGGCGAAAGTGGCGCTTTATATCTATGGATACGATAAAAATGCTGCGCATGCGCAAATCGGCCCAATTTTACATTATCGCACTAGTGCTTTCTTCTCGCACTAGTGCGAGTGCGTATCCTTAGTTATAAAGCGCCACTTTCGCCACACTTTGGAGACACGTAAAGTAGCGTTTTTCATGCATGAGTTACATAAAAAAATATACAATGAATGGTTAATTTACTAGTTCGTATAGAAAAATTAGAAAATGTAAACAAAAATTTATATACCTGATATTTAATTTTTATACTCGGTATATTAATATTTCATTTTAGGACTAAAAATCACATTACAAGTGAATTAATATGATCATTGTATGCCAAGAGTCCCTAAACAAAACAGGAGTATACGAGTGACCACAAGTTTGCTGCCGCGCCACTAGGTGGCCACTGCAACTCGCAAGCAAAATTGGAAGATCCTGAGAATAATTAGCCGTTCCCGACACCTGAAAGAGATCGTTTTTGATAGACCCCATAGACACCCAATAGATACGCGAATTATAGTAAGTGAGGAAAGTTAACCGGGAAGAACGTTTTATTATTATTGTAATACAATTACCCTTTATCGTGCCTAATCCTGGTTCTGTCTGAAGCCGGTATCGACAGTCGCATCTTATTTATCAGCTTGCCTCGAAGACAAGCTTACGTTGGCATTCACATTTACAGTCGCGACTGAAGCATTGTCTTAAGCATAGACTTAAGTTTTTGCTTAATGAAGCAATTCTTATTGAAATAGTTTCACAGTTACTTCTTAAGAAAGGCTTAAGACGTCATGAATTCATAGTCAAATAAGATCTTATTCGTCTAAAACGGCTTGTTATTTGTGGAATTCGAGGTTACGTTTTTAAGTCGACATCACAGACAGCTTAAGAACGTGCAAGTGATGATGGAGTTGGTTGATTTGATTGATATTGAAGATGATGACAGCGATATTGATATTCGTGATGAGCAAAATCTTTTTAAACTGTATAATGACTAAGAATTCAAGAGACGCTATCGTTTTAGAAAGGATTCCATTTTGTATAGAGTATTACCGAAAATAGAAGAAGGACTTGCAAGAATTAATAATAGTGGTTTACCTATTTCACCTGTGATGCAGCTATTAATCTGTTTGCGATATTACGCTACGGCAAGTTTTTAGGTACGTCGAGCAAGTAGAATATGATATCAAGAGTAGACAAGTACATATAGCAAAATTGTTTCACCATGCTTTTTTTTTGTGAGAAGACTTGTATTTACTAATTCCATTATATTTTCTATTATAATTTCAACGACAAAATATAATTTTATTTGTAATACTTATAGCTTCTTCTTAGTGATACAATGACCGTCCCACAAACAACTATATCACGAGTAGTTCTTCGTGTCAGTTTACTGCTTGCCAGTTTGATCAATGACTACATAAAAACGCCAAAAGATCCAGAAGCACGTATTGAAAATCAGCGGTGATTGAATAATCTTGCAAAAGGAAATGGAACTATTGATTTACCAGGTGTGGACGGAGCTATTGATTGCACTCACATAAGATTAACATCAACAAAATTCCAAAATATGGAAGAAATTTATCGAAACAGAAAAGGATACTTTTTGCTCAATGTACAAGTATGTATTGTAATTCAATTTTATCTTTAATGTCTGGTAAAGTAAACATTTGAAAAACAGGCTGTCGTTGGTCCTTGAATGGAATTTTTGGAGATTGTACCAGAATGGCCTAGCAGTGCACATGACAGTCGAATATTCCGAAACTCTCGATTATATATGCGATGCATGAAAGGAGAATTCGATGGAATGTTCGTCGGAGATTCAGGATATCCATGTTTACCTTTTCTTATGACACCACTGAGAAATCTCGAGGCTCCTGATGAATTCACGTACTCATGTTTCGTTTATGAATAAACCTCATTGATTAATTTAATAATGAGGTGCCTTAGTACCTGTTATATATTGTGACGTGGTGGATTTCACCCGTCTTGTCCTCGGCGGAAAATCACGCCGAAACGCGATACGTGCCGAAAGGCCATTGCAAAGTCCAGGCAGGATCCACCGACCGCAAGGGCCTAATTGAAATTTCGATAGATTACTTTATTATTTTCTTTTGTTTTGCGTGTACTCTGCCGGAGTTCGAATAGGTGCTCGCTCGCCGTGCCCGTGAAGACGCGGTGAACGAGAGAGAGGGAGCCAGCTGGAGTCCCTGGAGGAAGGGAGCTGCGACGCGCGAGGGTCGACACTCGCGCTATCTGCGGACAGCAGCTCTACTGGCCACGCGCTCTACTCTGCTGGTACTCAACCACGACGACTGGAAGCGGCGTACACAGCGCCACCCGACTGAGCACCACTACCGACCCCTATGGCATAGCGCCCATTGTCAGTTTGCGCATAATTATATTTCCGCGAGTTGGGAATCCAGGGACGCCTGGTGCACCCTCGCGCAAGAACGAATGTTACTCTTCGTAGGACCGAGCTGTACAAATTGTCCACAAGAGATGAAAATTATTAATTGTCGCAATGACAAATTCGAAACTGGCGCATGGCGAACACGCTGGGTTGAAGGATTCGTCCGCAGGGCGAATCGCCGCCCATTAGCCTAAAGGGAGGGGGTGCTATCCTTCACGCGAAGACAAAGCGCGTGAAGAAGAGATTC